AGGAGGTAGAGCTGGACCCCAAGGGTGAGGGGCTTTCACCCAGCCCCTAGAGCCTGGCACTTTGAACTTGGACTGAAAGCCTCCAAACTGTAAGAATAAACTCCTGTTTGTTAAGGCCATCCCATTTGTGGGATATTTCTTGTCAGAGCGGCACTGGATAACCAGAACAGATATCACGCTTGGTGAATTGGAGGGTCACTGAAAAAGGGGAAGACTCTCGGTGAGATGGATTGACACAGTGGCTGCTACAATGGGCTCAGGTATAGCAATGATTTGTGAGGCTGGCGCAGAACCTGGCAGTGTTTTCTTCTGTTGTACATTGGGTTGCTATGAGTTGGAGCTGACTCGATGGCACCTAACAACAACATTAAGAATTTAACTAATATTTGTCTAGGAAAAGGGGATAAAAAAAGGAAGTCTGTACAAAACCAGAAAGGACTGTTTCGGAGCCTAAGCAGCACTGGGGCAGTATCCATCTTGATTAAATAGAATTCTGAAGCATGAAGGGGCACTCTCCGCATTTCTGTAAAGGAAAGCTGGGGATTGAGCCCACTGGAGGTTCCAGAGAAATCAGTAGGTTTATCACCTTTAGGACTCCAGCCCATGAGCAGTAGTAGCAATCAGCAGAGGGAGCAAAAGCCCAGTGAAATGGGAAGGTGTGTCCAGTAGTCATGCCATTATCCAGGAGAGGAGGGCAAAGTAGCAGAGGAATAAAAGGTGACACCCATCAGGCAGTTAATTTGACTTATGTATAGGCACATGTGACATGCTTTTCGGGCCCTTCCTTACTATGAAGGGCACCTAGAGGGCTGGTGCTTGCATGTGTGGATAGTTAGCCAGAGTTCAATCATTACCTTATTTGCTTCTCCCACAGGAGTCCTACAAAAATCAAACCCATTACTATTGAGTCAATTCCAACTCATCATGACCCTGTAGGACAGAGTACAACTGCCCCCATAGGTTTCTAAGGCTGTAAATCTTTACAGAAGCAGAATGCCATGTCTTTCTCCCACAAAGCATTACTGTAAGGCAGGTTTTACCTGCATTTTATAGACGAACAGCCTAACTTTAAATAAATGTATCTGTAATAATTACAGGCATACCTTGTTTTATTGCCCTTTGCTTTATTGTACTTTGCAGATACTTCGTTTTTTACCAGTTGAAGGTGTGTGGCAACACTGCTTTGAGAAAGTCTATCAGTGTTATTTTTCCAACAGCACGTGCTCACTTCGTGTCTCTGTGTCACATTTTGGTGATTCTCACAATATTTCAAATTTTTTCACCATACCATTGCATACTTAATAGACTACAGTATAGTATAAATAAAACTTTTATATGTGGTGGGAAACCAAAAAATTCGTATGACTCATTGTCTTGGGATATTTGCTTTATTGCAGTGGTCTAGAACCAAACCCGCATTATCTGTCATATGCCTGTATAGTAAATCATGTGAAAGCCAAAACCTATGCAAGGTGCAAAACTCTTGGAGAATGAAAATTCAAATATTTTCCATTATAAAAAGCAACAGAAGAATGGTAAAATTGTACCCTTTCAAAGACAGAAAACTTGTGACACCAGAGAAACAAGGCAGTCCATCAATATCTGGCTCTCACAGGTTTCACTATTCCGGGTTTGTGTCTCTAAATAGGAAATCCAGAGCTAGAGCTAAGGATTTATGTCCTTAAGTTGTGTCTCAGGTATTTCGTGTCCCCATTCCCTTTATATGCTGATTGTCAGTATTCTTTCTTGCTTTTATCAGTTACATATATTACTTATGTATTTTGGAAAAATGGAAAAGATAATCGAGAATAAATTAAAATTAAAAAGCACCAATAACTCTACCATATATAAATAAACATATTCTGATTTTTATATTGTTATACCTTTTTTCCAATTCTTATATAAATATATATGGTGTAAATACACAGGCTTTTAAATGAGAATCTTTGTCTATAAACTGCTTTTGAACTGCTGCTTTATTAACTTTATAATATGTACCAAACATCTTTTCATGCAAATTGATGGAACTCCCCTGATGACAGAAAAACTTTTACAGACTAGATCAAAATGAAATCTCCAATCAGAAAATGACAGGACATCAAAAGGTTAACATTTAGGGTATATCAGGAAAATTTAAGTTGGAAAACCAGGAGGTTTATAATTATCAAGCTCAGGATTCAAGGCATAAGGCAAAACTCATCATGATGGTCATGGTGAGGAGGGTCCCCTATAAGAATGCGCAGGCTGTATCTCAACTGCAGCTCCCTAATTTTCCTCCTTAACTCTCTCATCTCCTCCATGAACCGTTCCATATCATCTGCATCTCCATCTATCAAATCAAAGTTATTGGCAAGCCTATCAGGCACATCCCCTCTAAACTCCTGTGCAGGTGGAGCCCGACCTCCTCTAATATTTCCTGCGGGTTCTTGGCCTTCGCCCCCTCCCAAAGGGCGAGCTTCCTCTCCATTCTGCACGGGGACTTGCTCCCTCCCTTCATTTTCCTGGGGCACGTTTTCCATGTTGAGATTTTTTTTCCTCTGCTCTTTCTTCCTAGGAGACAAAAAGCACGAAGAAGAGGAATTGAGCGCTTAATAACAACAGGTTTCAGAGCTCTGGCTGGCAAAGGTTCTCTCCCACCTGAGAGATTTCACGAGCCCTCTAGGGGGCTCCCTAGACCTATCCCCTTACCACCACAAACCCACCATTTTCCCTGTAAATCTTTCCCCAAGTACCTCCAGGCGCCAAAATGGAGGACAGAGTGTGCAGGGCAGTAGTTGCGAGTCAAAGGTCCTGGGATCCAGATTTTCCCTCTGGGGCGCCCCCAGACCACACCTCTGTACTCCCCTCTTCCTTCACTCCTCACCAGCCCACCATTTTCTTCTTCAGACTCAGACAGGTTTCTCCTGCCCTTAACTCTGGCAGGGAGGGCTATGAGAATCCCAGGTTCTGATCTGATACTCACATACATGAGGGCCCCAGCAGCCCCCTACCTGCAGGGGTGACAGGCGGTCTTCTATTAGCCTGGAGATCTGCCGCGTCAACTGACCTAAAGACCTGCGGATAGAAATATGACAGTGGCCGGCCTGGACTGACCACTTGATCAAAGGACCGACTGTTATTTAGGGCTCTGCCTGTCAAATGTTGCCACCCTGTGGTTCTTCTCCATCCAGTCTCAGGGCTTCCTTTTCTATCTTGTGACGTTCTCCCCCTTTCTCTGGAAATATCCGTCATAATCAGAGATGAGTATTTCCAAACCATTTTTGAAGTCTTCTTTAAGGCTCCCTATCCTCCACCTAATTACCATTTGTTGCACGTAAATGGGCAATTTTCGCGGCAGGGGAGTCAGGAAGGCTTGGGGGCTGGAGACGTGGT